AAAAGCAGCAGACTATGCATTCTTCTCAAGGGCATGCAGAACATTCTCCAGGACTGACCACATGCTGGGCCACAAGGCGAGCTTCAGCAAATTTAAGAAAATCAAAATCGTATCAAGCATCTTTTCTTATCACAATGTTGTAAGATTAGAAATAAACTACAAGAAAAAACTCTAAGAAACACAAACGTGTGTTTAGCTAAATAATATTCTACTAAACAACCACTGGATCACTGAAAAAAGCAAAGAAGGAAAAAAAATAATTAGAGACAAATGAAAATGAAAGCACAACGGTCCAAAAAATAATGGGATGCAGCAAAAGCAGTTCTAAGAGGGAAGTTGACAGCAATACAATCCTATCTCAAGAAACAAGAAAAATCTCAAATAAACAACCAAACTTTACACGTAAACAACTAGAGAAAGAAGAATGAACAAAACCTGTAAGTTAGTAGAAGGAAGGAAATCATAAAGATCAGAGAAGAAATAGAGACAAAGAGAAAATCATAAAGATCAATGAAACTAAAAGCTTATACTTTGAAAAGATAAACAAAATCCATAAGCCTTTAGCCAGACTCATCAAGAAAAAAAGGGAGAGGACTCAAATCAGTAAAATTTGAAATGGAAAAGTAGAAGTTATAACCAACTCCACAGAAATACCAAGGATTTTAAGAGACTACTATGAACAACTGTATGCCAATAAAACGGACAACCTGGAAGAAATGGACAAATTCTTAGAAAGGTACAGTCTCCCCAGACTGAACCAGGAAGAAACAAGAAAGTATGAACAGATCAATCCCAAGCACTGAAACTGTGATTAAAGATCTCCCAATAAACAAAAGTCCAGGACCTGATGGCTTCACAGACAAATTTTATCAAACATTTAAAGAAGAGTTAATACCTATCCTTCTGAAACTGTTTCAAAAAGTTGCATAGGAAGGAAAACTTCCAAACTCATTTTATGAGGCCACCATCACCCTGATATCAAAACCAGACAAAAATACCACAAAAAAAGAAAATCATAGGCCAACACCACTGATGAACATAGATGTAAAAATCCTCAACAAAATACTAGCAATTTATATCCAACAATACATCAAAAAGATCATACACCATGATCAAGTGGGATTGATCACAGGGATGCAAGGATTTTTTGACATCCACAAATCCATCACTGTAATATACCACCTCAACAAACTGAAGAATAAAAACCACATGACCATCTCAATAGATGCAGAAAAAGCTTTTGACAAAATTCAGCACATTTTTATGATAAAAACTCTCCAGAAAGTGAGCACAGAGGGTATATACCTCAACATAAAAAAAGACCATATATGACAAGCCTACAGCTAGCATCATACTCAATGGTGAAAAACTGAAAGCATTCCCTCTAAGATCAGACACAAAACAAGGATGTCCACTCTCACCACTTTTATTCAACAAAGTTTTGAAAGTCCTAGCTACAGCAATCAGAGAAGAAAAAGAAATAAAGGGAATCCAAATTGGAAAAGAATAAGTTAAACCATCACTGTTTGCAGAAACTACTAGAACTCATCAATGAATGTGGTAAAGTTGCAGGTTACAAAATTAATATACAGAAACCTATTGCATTTCTATACACTAACAACAAAAGATCAGAAAGAGAAATTCAAGAAGCAATTCCATTTACCACTGTATCAAAAAGAAAAAGATAGCCAGGAATAAACCTAAGGAATATAAAACCTAAGGAAACAAAAGATATGTACCCTGAAAACTATAAGATGCCGATGAAAGAAATCAAAGAAGATATAAACAGAAGGAAAGATAAACCATTTTCACAGACTGGAAGAATCAATATTGTCAAAATGACTATACTACCTAAGGCAATCTACAGATTCAATGCAATCCCTATCAAATTACCAACGACATTTTTCACAGAACTAGAACAACAACAACATCATCTCAGAATTTGTATGGAGATACAAAAGACCCCAAATAGCCAAAGCAACCTTGAAAAAGAAAAATGGAGCTGGGGGAATCAGGCTCCCTGACTTCAGACTATACTACAAAGCTACAATCATCAAAACAGTATGGTACTGGCACAAAAACAGAAATATAGATCAACAGAACAAGACAGAAAACCCAGAAATAAGCCCATGAACCTATGACCAATTAATCTATGACAAAGGAGGCAAGACCACACAATGTTGAAAGTTGGTCTCTTCAACAAATGGTGCTGAGAAAACTGGACAGCCACATGTCAAAAAATGAAATTACATCATCCCTTAACTCCATACACAAAAATAAGCTCAAAATGGATTAAAGACTGAAATGCTAAAAGGGACACTATAAAAACTCCTAGAAGAAAACATAGGCAGAACACTCTCGGACATAAATCACAGCAACATCTTTTTTGATCCATCTTCTAGAATGGAAATAAAAGCAAAAATAAACAAATGGGATCTACTTAAACTCAAAAGCTTTTGCACAGCAAAGGAAACAATAAACAAAATGAAAAGACAACCCACAGATTGGGAGAAAATATTTGCAAATGATGTGACCAATAAGGGATTAGTCTCTAAAATTTACAAGCAGCTTATGATGCTTAATAGCATCAAAACAAAGAACCCACTCAAAAAATGAGCAGAAGACCTGAATAGGGATTTCTCCAAAGAGGACATACAGATGGCCAATAGGCATATGAAAAGATGTTCAGTGTCGCTAGTTACTAGAGAAATACAAGTCAAAACTGCAATGAGATATCACTTCACACCAGTCAGAATGGTTATCATCAAAAAATTCGCCAACAACAAACGCTAAAGAGTGTGTGGAGAGAAGGGAACCCTCCTGCACTGTTGGTGAGAATGTAAGTTGGTACAGCCACTATGGAGAACAGTATGACGGTTCCTTAAAAGACTAAAAATAGTTACTATGTGATCCTGCAATCCCACTCCTGGGCATATACCCAGAGAAAAACATGATCCAAAAGGATACATGCACCCCAATGTTCATTGCAGCAATGTATCCAAAAGCCAAGACATGGAAGCAACCTAAACATCCATGACAGAGAAATGGATAAAGATGTGGTACATGCATACCATGGAATATTATTCAGCCATTAAAAAGAATGAAATAATGATATCTGGGTAGACCTTGAGAGTGTCATACTGAGTGAAGTAAGTCAGAGGAGAAATATCGTATGACATCCCTTATATGTGGAATCTAAAAAGAAATGATACAAATGAACTTACTTACGAAACAGACTCAGAGTCTTAGAAAATGAACTTACGGTTGGGGGGAGGTGGTGGGGGACTTAGTTAGGGACTTTGGGAAGGTAATGTACATACTGCTATATTCAAAATGGATAACCAACAAAGACCTATTGTACAGCACATGGGACTCTGCTCAATGTTCTGTGTCAGCCTAGATAGGAGGAGGGTTTGAGGAAGAATGGATACATGTGTATCTATGGCTGAGTACCTTTGCTGTTCACTTGAAACTACCACAACATTGTTAACTGGCTATACCCCAATACAAAATACAAAGTTGCATGTTAGAAAAAAAAAAGTTTACTTTCTATGTTCTTATCTTTCACCTCAAACTTCTAATTGCTGTTAGCAACATCATTAGTACTAAGCCCGGGAGGGGCTGGAGAGAGGGATCAGCAATATTGCAAAAGTTTTTTATTCTTTATAAAAAACTTGAAACTTACTAAAAAGAATGCCGCTTTGTTTGCTTTCTCAGCAATAAAAGGAAGGCACTATAGAGCCAGGGTATTTTTTTAAGCTGAATATATATTTTTAATTTTTTAATTGGAGGATACCTGCTTTACAATGCTGTGTTGGTTTCTGCCTTACAACAACATGAATCAGCCATGACTATATATATACACACACATGTACACATATATATATATGAATTGAAGTGTAAGGTGCAAGTCACTCAGTCATGTCCGACTCTTTCCAACCCCATGGACTATACAGTCCATGGAATTCTCCAGGCCAGAATACTGGAGTGAGTAGCCAGTTCCCTTCTCCAGGTGATCTTCCCAATGCAGGAATCAAACCCAGGTCTCCTGCACTGCAGGCAGATTCTTCACCAGCTGAGCCACAAGGGAAGCCCATATGTATGCATCATCTCCCTCTTGAGCCTCCCTCCCAACCTCCCCCTGCCGATTCCTTGCCTCTCAGTTGTCACGGAGCACCAGGCTGGGCTCCCTGTGTTATGCAGCAGCTTCCCGCCAGCTATCTATTTTACACACATATGTCAATTTTATACATATGTCAATGCTGCTTTCACAATACGTCCCACCTTTGCGTTCCCCTGCTGTGGCCTACAAGTCTGTTGTTCTCTACATCTACGTCTCTACTGGTGCCCTGCAAATAGGTCCATCAGTACCATTTTTCTAGATGCTATGTATGTGTGTAAATATACAATATTTCTCTCTTTCTGACTTACTTCACTCCATATAACAGGCTCTAGGTTCATCCACCTCAGTTCAACTGACTCACATTCGTTCCTTTTTGTGGCTGACTGGTTACTGCTGACTAAGTGTAGATTCACATACTCACTCTGACACTTATTAAGTAGTATATGACCTTAGATAATTTACCTTAAATGTCAGTTTTCTCAGCCATAACGTAAGAATTTAATACCTTAATAAAGTCCATTCTGAGCATTAAAAGAGACCATTCTTACAAAGCATTTGCACAAGCACTTACCACATGGTAAGTACTCAATAAATGTTACCAATATTATTACAGCTAGCAAAAGACAGTGATACAAGAGTCTCAGATAACAGCATTATCAATAAGCAACAAAGTTTTGGACAGCATAGAAAGCAATCTGTGATATCTTTCATTCATATGCTTTATATCAACGCATATATGCTTTCATAATCAAAGAGAAATGGTTTACAAGAAACCTAAAAATTCAATCTTTATGGTACAAAGTGCCATACCAACTTGGCTTCTAAACCAGACTACTCGACACGTAACTGTTTAATCACAATTAAGCATTACACTTACGATTCTTGTGGCCCAATGTCATAATTCTATCCATATCATCAGCATTATTGACCACATAAGCTGATAAATCCTTGATATAAACTCCCACATCAGGTCTTTCTTTAACCTAAAAAAAGAAATACAGATTTTACACATATATCCATAATTTTTCCACAGTTATTTACCAAATATCTACTACATGTTGGATACTGCTAGGTAGTGAGAATAGGGTGATGAACAAGGCAGAGTTTCTACACGGTGGAAGTAAAAAGCTGCAGAGAGAACATACAAATAAATAATTACACATAAAAATTATTTTAACTGTGATAATGCCATAAAAAAAAATACAGGAAACTACAGGAGAATACATTATGGAGAGACAAGCTAGTGAAGCAGGAACTGGACAAGTTTCCCCAAGATGATGTTTAAGCTAAGACCTGAAGAAATAGAAGGTTCAATCTGTGTTAGAATAGGATGAAAGAGTATGTACAAGAAGCCTGAAATGAGAAAAAACTAGGTAATTTAAAAAAACAAAAACCAATTAAACAGACAAAAGCCAAATAAACAGCAGGCAGCACAGGGGAAACTGGTGGGATATCCAGCTAAAGAGGTAAGCAGAAATAAGACTAAGCATAGTTATTGGACAAATTTGATCTTATTGAACTATAATTGATTTACAATGTTGTGCTAGCTTCTGGTATACAGCAAGGTGACTCAGATTACATACACATACACACACATTCTTTTTCATATTCTTTTCCATTATGGTTATTACAGGATATTGAATATAGTTCCCTGTACCACACGGTAGGACCTTGCTGCTTTTTATTCTGTATAATAGCTTGCACATGCTAATCCCAAACCCCTGATCCATCCCTCCCGCACTCCCCCGACCCTGGCAGCCACAAGTCTGTTTTCTATACCTGTGAGTCTGTTTCTGTTTCACAAGTAAGTTAATTTTGAGTCATATTTTAGATTCCACAAAAAACCAACATTGTGGTATTTGTCTGACTTGCTTCATTTAAAGTATGATAGTCTCAAGGTTCATCCATGCTGCTGCAAATGGCATTGTTTCATTCCTTTTCATGACTGAGTCGTATTCCATTGCACATATATACCACATTTTCTTTATCCATTCATCTGTCAATGAACATTTAGGCTGCTTCCATGTGTTGACTACTATAAATAGTGCTGCTGTTTATATTCTGACTTGGACCCTCTACCCACATCCTTCTCTGCTTCACCAAGAAATTAGTGTCCACTTAAAAAATATGCATAACCTAAAGTTACAAACTGTGTTTTTATTCAGTGGACACACTGAAGATTTCTCAGATGGCTCTGAGGGACTGTTCAAAAGAGGTAAGGGAGCATGTATATTTTCAAATTAGAGTTCTGAATGGATATATACACAGGAATGGAATTGCTGGGTCACTTGGCAACTCTATTTTTTAGTTTTCTGAGGAATTGCCACACTGTTTTTCCATAGTGGCTGCACCAATTTACATGCCCACCAACAGTGCAGGAGGGCTCCCTTTTCTGCACACCATCTCCAGCATTTACAAACTTTTTAATGATGGCCATTCTGACTGCTGTGAGGTGATACCTCACCGTAGTTTTGATTTGCACTTCTCTAATTATTGGTCTTTATCTTAACAGCAATTTGAAATCACTAGAGTATTTCACACAGGTGAGTGAAATAACCAGATCTATGGTATCCATGTAAAAATATTATCTTTCTGTGAGTAACTTTATGAGAATTTTGATCCAACTTGAAGGTTGTATTTAGGATATGTGTATCTAAAATACACATAGTATTTTAATACTAATTGAAAAATATACATAGAAATACAAAACTTATTTTACATGGACTAGAAGTCACCTCCAAAAATCAACAGAATACAGTGAAACTGAGGTAGAGGTCTGTGGCTGCCAGTGGGACAAGCCATTTCCACAGGTAGTAAGACCTCACAGACAAAGATAACAAAAGTTTAAAAAACAATATCAGATACAAAGTCACAGAAACAAATACTCTGAATTCTAGGTGTTGATTTTAAATCTAATTAGTTTGGGGTCTTTTTTATAAGACATATTTATACATTACGAATACTGCCTTTTCTCTGTCATGGGATATATGTTAACTCCTAATTTTAGTAACAGAAAATAAATGTGTTGATCTCCATAAAGCAATGGGTTTCAGACTGTGCTCTGACAAGCACTAGATGGCCTATTGGTGGCAATGAGGGGGCCACAGTTCAAGTCTGGGGTTTTTTAGACCCAGACAAATTCTAAAAAGAACTTTACTTTCATTTATTTTATAGACTGGACTTCCACATAAGGTCTGGTTTGATTCAAGTGTTAAAATGCTTTAAATCTTTATGTGAATATTACTGGTCTATACCAATGCTCAGAAAATCTTTGTTAAAAAATATTGTGTATATTTCTAATGTGGAAAAGTGGTATCTCTGGGAAAAAATCATGCACTTGGATGTCATGAAAATGTCTGATTTCAATGAAAGTTTTTAATCATGTACTTTCACTTTCTATGCTTATCTTACTGCAGGTGGGAAACATTCTTCAAACTGGCATCAGTCTGCAAAGTCTAAGGTCATTTCCAATAACAAGTTATTAATTCTATATTCAATTATTAAGCATAAATTATATATGAAAGATGAAAAAACTGAATATGAATTCTGAAATAAAGCAGGACCCTGACACAAGATGGTGGAGCAGAAGGATGTGAGCTCGCACCATATCAAGAAAACACCATCGGAGTCTCTTTTTCTGTTTTGCATATAGGGTTATCGTTACCATCTTTCTAAATAGAACAGACTTGTGGACTCTGGGAGAAGGCGAGGGTGGGATGTTTCAAGAGAACAGCATCGAAACACGTATATTATCTAGGGTGAAACAGATCACCAGCCCAAGTTGGGTGCATGAGACAAGTGCTCGGGCCTGGTGCACTGGGAAGACCCAGAGGGATCGGGTGGAGAGGGAGGTGGGAGGGGGGACCGGGATGGGGAATACATGTAAATCCATGGCTAATTCATTTCAATGTATGACAAAACCCACTGCAATGATGTAAAGTAATTAGCCTCCAACTAATAAAAATAAATGAAAAAAAAAAGAAAACACCAAAGTCACAACTAACTGGTGAACCACCACCCCAACAACAAAAAAAAAACACTGAAACTTACCAAAACAGATATCCTATATTCAAAGACAAAGGAGAAGCCACAAGACATAGAAGGGGTGCAATCACAATAAAATGAAATTCCACATGCGTCAGCTGGGCAACATACAAACTGGGGAATAATCACCTTTCAGAGGTGCTGCCACAAGAGTGAAAGCTCTGAGCCCCACATCAGGCTGCCCACCTGGGCTCTGGCACTGAGAGGAGCCTGCGGAGCACAGGACTGGGGGAAAGAGAAACTCTACTCTTGGTGGGCACACACAAGGTCTCACGGAGACAGTATCTAGGGGAAAAGCAGTGACCTTATAGAAACCTGGGCCAGACCTACCTGCTGATCTTGGAGAGTCTCCAAGGGAGTCGGGGGGCAGCTATGGATTACTGTGTGGAAAAGACACTAGCAGCAATAGTTCTGGGAAGTACTCATTGATGTGAGCCCTCCTGGAGGCCATCATTTTCTCACAAGACCCAACCCCAACCAATAGCCAATAAGATGACTGTCTCCTTTCCCATGTTAGGGGCATTTTCAACTGTTATCTCTTCAAATATTTTTTCAGGTCCTTTTTAGGACCCTGATGCAAATGGCAGTGTGTTTAATGTTGTCCCAGAGGTGTCTGATACTGTTATAATTTCTTTTCTTTTTTTTCTGTTTTCTGTTCCACAGCAGTGATTTCCAATATTCTGTTTTCCAACTTATTTATTTACCTGTTTTTCTACCTCATTTACTCTGCTACTGATTCCTTCTATTGTGTTTTTCTTTTCAGTTGTTGTGTTGTTCATCTCTGTTTTTTAGATCTTCTAGCTCTTTTTAAAAATTTCCTGTATCTTTTTGGTCTGTGCCTCTATTATTTTTTGAAATGTTGGATCATCTTTACTCTCATTACTCTGAATTATTTCTCAGTTAGAGTGCCTATCTCCATTTCACTTAGTTGTTTTTTTTTTTATAGTTTTATCTTGTTCCTTTGTCTGGGACATACTCTCCTGCCATCTCATTTTGTCTGCCTTTATGTGATTGCTGTTTCCATTCCACCAGCTGCAGGGTTATAGTTATGATTGCTTCTGCTATCTGCTCACTGGTGGATGAGGCTGATCTAAGAGGCTTGTGCAGACTTCCTGGTGGGAGGAAGGGTTTCTTGCCCACTGGAGGGTAGAGCTGGACCATGTACCTCTGGTGGACAGTGCTGTGTCAAAGGGTGTGTTTAACAGGCAGCTGTAGGCTTGGTAAGATTTTATGCAGCCTGTAAGCTGATGGGTGAGGCTGTGTTACTGCCCTGTTGGTCATTTGGCCTGAGGTGTCCCAGCACAGTCACCCAAGTCCAGAAATACAGAAAGCCTCATGCAGGGTAAACTGAAGAAGGAACATGCCAAAACGAAATAGTACTCAAACTAACAAATAATAAAAACAAAGAGAAGATATTAAAAGAAACAAGCAACAAATAACATACAAGGGAATCTCCATAAGATTATCAGCTGATTTTTCATCAGAGGCTCAACAGGCCAGAGGGAGTGGCAAAATATATTTAAAGAGATGAAAGGGAAGAACCTACAACCAGGAATACTCTACCCAGCAAGACTCTCATTCAGATTTGATGGAGAGATCAAAAGCTTACTAGACAAGCAAAACCTAAGAGAATTCAACACTGGGAGACCAGCTGTGCAACAAATGCTGAAGGAAAATCCCTAGGTGGAAAAGGACACAAATTAGAAAAAAGAAAATTACAAATGGAAGCACTCACCAGTAAAGGCAAACATACAGTAAAGGTAGGAAATACTCACACACAAATATGACATCATAATCATAAGATGAGAGCACAAAAGCAGGGTACTGGAAAGGACCAGCAACTGAAATCAATCTTATTTATATATAAACTACTATATCAAAACCTCATGGTAACAGCAAATCAAAAATCCACAATAGATACACACACAAAAATCAAAAA